AAGACAGGTTTTGTTTTGTTTTGAAGTAAGATTTCTGACAATGGGGGCAACCACACGGCCAATATGTCCGACAGATCAGGGAGTAACTTGTCAGACCTAGTTCACAGGAAAGAGTGACCTACAATGCCATCTCCCTGCTTTTCAAAAATAGGTTTGAGGCATGAATTTGGGAAATACTTATGACTCCATTTGGCTAACTTGACCTGTATGGACACAGGTTTAAATTAACATTGGGTGCAATGTATTTATTCCCCTTATGCCTTATTCCATTAAAAAAAAAAATCATTACAGATGCAAAGGAAATCTTTCAAAGTAATCATTACAGCCAGAGATTATACAAATAGATTTCTTAGGGTAGAGAAACAGCACTTCACTGCACAGAGGCAAAGTTCTAAGGATTTTAGTCAATATTAGCTCAGTAAGGTTAAAAAAAAAAAAACCCACAAAAACAAAAAACCCAAAGTGTAATAGTTGGTCCTATGAGGCACTCGGAAGATAAAAAAATGCTTTATTACCTTGAGATAATAATAAAAATATTTTTCCTTATTGGATCTATAAAATCTAATGCTCATTGACCACTATCATCTTTACAAATAATTGGCTTTAAGCAACAGCATTCTGATTCACAAAAGCTCCTCTATTCTCATCGTCTGATGGATCAAACCCAGTTTCCTTTCAGCTGATCCCATGGTCATCCTTGCCCTCATTGGCCTTAGACTGGTACTGAGGTCTCTATGTGAAACAGATCACTTGTCCAGAGCAATTGCTCAGCAAAAGCTAAAGCTCACATTCAACTTGAAGACTGAAAATTCAACATGTAAACGTTTTCTACTTTCTCTATAGTCTTTTGCAGGTCCTCATATAGTTTTGATTTGCTTGGCCCCATGGGGGCAGACCTTACGCTGGCAAAGGCTTGTGAATCCTGGGACGTTGGTGAGCACCTTCCTGGCTCCCTTCCTCACACACTGACGACAGAAGCGGACCCAGAGCATAGCCGCTGTGGTCCTGACAGTGATAGACATGGGGATCCGTAAGACAAGAGCCTCCTTTGCTCCTCTCCAGAAGCAAAAAGTCTGGATCCCACCGTTTGAATGCTTACTTTGAAGGTATCTAATATCTTCTAAAAAAAAAATTATCGAATGTCTAATTTCCAGAGGGTCCTGAACTCAGAATCCATGACTTTTTCCTAAAGAAAGGCTCTACTGGTTGAGATTTGAGAGAGTAAAATCCCTAAAATAATTGTATATATGAAAATGGGGAATGATTTATACAGTTTCTTGGATACCTCACCCAAAATCTTGCCCTGCCTTGGAAGAGCTTGTATTGCTCATGTGAGGACGGAGATTTTTCCTTCTAGAGGAGGTGAGTGTCCACGTTGGTGCCCACACAGTTTGTGAAAAGGCTGTTAGCTGTTAGGTGGCTGTCATCACCATGTTTTCAGTTACCAATTCTGAATCCAATTTCTAATCCTTCCAGATCACTCTAAGGAAAGCTGAGTGAATGTGGTGAGAAGAAAATGAAAATATGATGAAACCTCTGCCTTTAGACAGCCTAACTCAGAAGAAAGGAAGCTTCTTCCTAGTCCTGCATTAGTAATCACAGCTGTGGCTTCCTTAGACACAGTTCTCTCCTTTGCATATATAAAACATTTCGAAGTGAATGCTTCTTACATTTCCAAAAATAAATATTAGCGAACTAAAAGTAAGGAGATTTAAAACATATAAAGCCCAATCAAAAATGTAAATGTCCAGGGGGTGCCTGGGTGGCTCAGTGAGTTAAAGCCTCTGCCTTCGGCTCGGGTCATGATCCCAGAGTCCTGGGATCGAGCCCCGGATGGGAGGGGGGGTCGTCTCTGCTCAGCAGGGAGCCTGCTCCCCCCACCCCCACAGCCTGCCTCTCTGCCTACTTGTGATCTCTGTCTTTCAAATAAATAAATAAAATCTTTAGAAAAAAATGTAAATGTTCAAAATGACAACTCTTCAGAAACTGTTTTATACAGATATTTATGTAGTTCTGTCATTTCTATTACCAAAACCAACTCCAGACCTGTGGTTGTGTGAAGGAGTTGATGACATACTAGCCTCGACGGAATTTTGGTATGGGTATTTTAAGTAAAAGAGTGTAACAATAAGAAACCTATATATTTGAAGTGAAAATTTACCCACAGCTATCTGCCATAAAGTTCCCGTTGACTCTTCAGCTATTAATTCCCTTTGTTAACTTTTAGTGAATTTTTGTTAAACTCAGGGTAGATCGCATTGTGCACCACTAGATGGCACCATGCACAAGTGATAGGTGGGGCTTTTTCCAGTCCAAAGGAAGTAAGCTGTTCTTTCCCCATAAGCCACATGGAAGCCCTAGGAATCAAAGGCGGGACAGGTCACATAGAATGATGAAGCGGCTCTCTATGAAATGAACTGTTGAATCCGGACCTTCTAAGTTTGAGAGCAATCTAACAGCTATTATTTTACTCCAATGGAGAGGGAAATCAGAATTCGTAGTGAAAATTATTGGACATAAATGGTGTGTGTTGGATGTAAGGGAGTTGCCATTCATTCGACGAGGAACATAACAGGTTCTATGACAGATGAGTACCTCACGTAGAAGGAATCAACACTCTTCCCTTTTCACAAGGCATGGAAGCTTTTCTGAGCATTCTTCAGATTTCTAATTCTTGATTTCTGTAGATGACAGATCCCAAGCCAGGAGCGATGAGCAAATCTTGAGAAGTTATTTCAAATTGAAGTAATGGGCAATAGCTCTCTTTCCTCCTCCCCCTCCTTTTAAAAAAATATGTATTTAAAAATCTTTTTATGTAGAATACATAAATTTTGGTCAAATACACGTTGGTGCAAACATTATCCACTGAACTTACTACTGCAAACTGTTCCTTTCACATTAACATAGCATATATGGATGTGTGATGCAGAGGGTGGCCCGAGAGAGACAGAAGATAAGAAAATAGAAAGGGTGAGAACAGAGGCTCCATACCAGATTATCAGTAGTTCCTCAATGAGGGGGATGGGGGAGTCTTGGGAATATCAAGAAGTCAGCAAAATAGAAGAGGACATACACGTGTAAAAAAGGAGGAAAACATACAGAATGATTTCTAATTCAACTCCAGTCAGCAACGTGTATACCTCCAGCCCAAAAGTCGACCACAGCCATGTTCCGAAGGTTCTGATTCACCCATATCCGTGCTTGTAGTCAATCGTGTTTTGGCTACTGGGCTGCAGACCCTTTATTTCCCACTTGCTGAATGAATTGAGTCCCTGGGTTAAAACAAAGAGCCCGTGACTGTTCTAAGGAAATACCATAGTTTATACACAGTAGTCTTTCGACTACTTACTTCTCAGTTAATTTTTTTAATTTAAAAAAGTCTGATTAAGACAATAATAGAACATAATTTGCAATCAGTCAGGAGGACAAGTGATCCCAAGAAAGGAAAGAAAATGATAATAAAGGGATGCTATCTCTTGGCAAGCTATCAAAGACAAGACTTGAAAGTGTGAGAAATAGGTTACAGGTTAGAATCCTCCTCTTCCAAGCTGGAACTGTTTGGAAGGCAGACTGTAGCCTGGGCAAGAGACTAGCTGACTCCTTCAGTGATCGAGGTCAGAGTCCATGGTGGTCCTCGGACTGATGAAGGAGACTAGAGACACCACTGTAGGAGATCAGCATTTTAGAACCTTGAGAAGACCTACTACTGCCACCCCTTCATTTGACATGTGAGGGAACTGAGGTCCAGTGAGGTTAAATAACTTTCCCAGGGGAACATAGCTATTCAGTTACACACCTGGAACGAGAACCTGTTTTCCAGTTGCCAGCTCAGAGGCTGTCTGTCCTCCAAGCACACAGCCTCTCAAGTGGACAAAGTACCCGGGAGGTCACAGAACCACAATGTTCAGTGAACTTCAGTAGGGAATGCTTCTCACAACAAGACTTGGAGGAGGAAGACCTTGCCTGAGCCAGCTGAAAGAAGAGACTGACAAAGGCAGTAAGCATTGACTATGTTTCTGGGGCAGAAGGATGTAAGAAAGGTAAGAGCTTAAGGAGGCAAAGCCTGTTATAAACTCGTGACCATGCCCACCTTATTCCATCAGAAGGTGAGGCAGGTCTAGTCAATATCTAAATACTAACGGTACTGCTAACAAAAACAGAAGTTAAAAGAAAACCCTTTTACTAGAATACTTGTAAATACTCATCAATAATAATAATAGTGATAATAATAATGATACCTTTCTTTATAAAAAAAACAACACTTCAAATTGCATCTTACAAACACATATGTGGTGAAGAAATGCTTGTTCGTGTGGTTAAACATGAATCACTGTCTTCCCTGCAATGCTACAGCTTTGTTCCCAGAGGGTGACCAGACAGGAACCCTCGAGGAATAAGGAATATTAGTTATTTCTCCTTTATACTTAGATTCTCCACTTCCCTGATACAAACAGTAACACTGGTTCTACAAGTTCTAGAAACAGAACACCGATGGGAGGGTTATCTGAGACACTTGTTGTACACAGTTTGTAGCAAAAGTCTGTGATTTCTCTGTGAATTACTCATCTGAAATAGACACAACAAACCGTCCACAGCTTCAACTTCAAATGATTTAAACAAAAATAGAACAAGCCATGGACAGCGTCTGCCTCCCTGTCCAATTTGATGTAAACAACGTTTGTAGAAATTGGGTTTGTTAAGAAAGTTTATCCATATACCTGGATAGCAATAAAAAGCGTTTCCTAGGAAACTGTAAGATCCTGTACCACACAGCATACAGCCCAACTAAGAGGAAAATTAGGTCGATTTCTAAAGTCAAAGTACAAATTTACACAATTGTTCTTAACTCCTGTGAGGATGTCCTGGTGAAGTGGGCGTGTCTGTCCAGCGGTGGTGTCTGCTTTCCTTCTCTCTCCCACTTGCAGTCTTGCCTGTGAAACTCATCGGTCGCGGTCCATTCTGGATTTCCTTCTCAACGGCCAAGACCTGAATGTCCACAGACCCCCGGTGCATTCCCGCCCTTCATTTCCAGTTCTGGCGTGGGTCAGTACTGTCCTTCTGCTGCTAACGATACTACTGTTTCATGCCTTCCCATTTCTTCCAGGACGGCCGCCAGCATGCTCAAGTTTCCATCTGGGAAGTTCTGTGCTTCCCAGAGATCCAGGATTACGCCAGTTGGGCTGGATTTGGTGGCAAAGTAATTCAAGTACCTGTAATTGGGAATGGGAGAGTGTGCTGAGTGGTGAGCTGTACAGATCTGCTTCCTCTGCAGTTTGTCCCAACCCTTCCTGCCTCTCCATTTGTCTTGTGAGTACCCTGGTCCCACTGGAGGAGCTGTGGTTTACAGGGAGCCATCCTAAATAACTAGCACACACTTAATTAGATCAGCGCCAGACAGGAAACGCGATGTTTAACTTTGTTAACCTCAACTCTGAGTAAGATAATTTAAGAGACAAGATGTCTATGGGTCATATCCTAAACAGGAAATCGAGACACTTATGTTTTCTTTCCAGCCCACGCTCTGATCATCTTTGACAGGTCATGCCATGTCTTGTGGTGCTTGGTAGTGATGGCAACATTCCACAAAGAGGAGGCTCCTGAGGTCTTTTTATAACTCAGTGTCAGTGCGGTGATTAGCATGTTAATTAAGTAAGCATCCAGCGGTAGGCCTTGATCAACAGGAGGTGAGGAAAGACAATTACTTTAAGTGAAGGGATCTACTATTTCAGGGGATTTAGCCCATCAGCTTTGCAAAGTGGATCACAGAACCCAATACTTATCTTGTCAGATAAGCCCAGAATCTCTCTCCACAGCGTGGTTGCAAGACCATGGCGCAAGGGACAAAAAAGTTGAGGGAAATTGGAGGGGGAGGTGAACCATGAGAGACTATGGACTCTGAAAAACAATCTGAGGGTTTTGAAGGAGCAGGGGGTGGGAGGTTGGGGGAGCCAGGTGGTGGGTATTAAGGAGGGCACGGATTGCGTGGAGCACTGGGTGTGGTGCAAAAACAATGAATTCTGTTATGCTGAAAAGAAATTAAAAAAAAAAAGAAATTTAATGTACAGCACTTAGCATAGTGCCTAGCATAATGTAATCACTCAATAAATATTAAATAGTAAAAAAAAAAAAAAAAAGAAGCTTCATACAGGTTTGCAGAATGAAAAGTAAATGGATGGACAGGAAAAACAGCGACCCCATCCACAGAGGCCACCCCCATCTGACAGTTCCCAGCCCCGGCGCTCTCTGTCTACCAGAAAGCCCGTCCTGAAAACCTGGCCACACCCACCTGTCTAGGTTCAGCTTATGGGCCAGCATCCTCCAGTCATGCCCTCTGGTCTGTGGGGCGTCCAGGCTGCTACAGAGCTTCTGCCGGATGGGGGGAGGAATGCTGAAAGCACCGGGGCCGGTCATGGTGGTGATGGTGCTCGCTGGGTCCAGCAGAGGCAGATCAATGCCAGTGGGTTCCTGTAAGTTCAGGCGCAGGAACAACACAGCGTTATTTCCAAAGACAAAAGCAAGTTCTGTTGAACCAATCGACATTGCCTTGCTTTGAGCGATAAGGAGAGAATGAGTGCTATTCTTTTTCCTGGTACAAATGGCTTCTTCCCGGCCAACAGCTGGGACCTGGCTGAGGACACGAGGGATGTTCCGGGCTGACTTTGCACAGACTGGGATGTATAGGTTTCTGCTACGGACTGGGCTGGGCGAGGTGGGACCTCTGGTGTGATACAGTAACGCCTTTTCTCTCATCCTTCTCAGGATGAAAGAGGAGAGAAGACTCTCCATACTCCTAAAGGTTTAGATTTCAAGAGGGGAGAAATGTTCAAAAGGGCAGTTCTTTGAGAATAAACAGATCTGAGATTAGAAGGCAGAGCTTCTAGAAACGGTGTCACCCTGAGGGGAATGCCCAAGTCAATTCTCTCTCTAACCTCTGCAGAAGTAGGGTCGGTTCTGCTTTTGTTGAAGGAAGTGGAATACAGCCCTCCTCCAAATGATATAAAATTAAGACTAATTTTTTAAAGAAAATGGTGAACACAGTAGATTGCCTTAGGGCCAGCACTAATGGCATCCTCCAATTGCTGTACACCCTTATTTTTGTTAAATCTAATTTTAGGAGAGAAAACCATAAATTGGCTCTTAAAATAGTTTCAGCTCATAAAACAGCACAAATGCGAAATCTAAATTTCATCTGCAGGAGTAACTCTAATCATTTTCTGATCACTTCTGCTGGTTGGAAAAGCAAAAGCAAATATTGTCTGGGAACTATTAAAGCAATAAAAGAAAATCTACTTAATCTACTTTAAATGTCACCTCTCTCTCTCTCTTTTAAAGCAGGTAACTTCTTGGTGTACATAATTAGCAGCTGCGGGATAAACTAGCCACATACAGTTTGAGTTATCATGAAGTCTCTGGTCTCATGCAGAGTGCTCAGCTCGGGGAGGGGGCAGTGCCACCCCTGCCCAGAGCCCCCCAAATCTGGTTGCCCCATGGGGATCACTGTGGTCTGTGTCTCAGTGTAGACCAACAGCATGCTCTGGATTCTGGGGCCGACAGCCAAGGCTCACTGCTAGGCAGTGAGGGGTCCATCCAGGGGCTTGGAGGGCTCATTAGAGCGAAACAAATTCTTTGCTGTGATACACATGGGGGTGTTGGCTGCCATTGTGGTATTTAGCCTCAATACCCCCAAATTGGCAAACTGAGCCTTTGAGGAGTCTATGCGCTCCTTTGTGCTAACTCCAGCACATGCCAGTTAAAAGACTGCTATGAATGAAACACATCAGCACGAAATGGAGGTTGGAGTCCCAGAATGGGGATGCAGCCTGCAGCTCTTTCCCCACACCTGGCAGAGCTCCTTCCAGGGGACCCCGAGGAGAGAGGGTGTCTGACCTCCCGGGTACAGGGCTTCAATGTAGGGGCCCAGAAGAGTGACGTGGGCGCAGGTGGTGGTGTTTTATCAATGGATTTGTGTTGGGGATTTCTGAACCAAAGTGCTTCATCACTGTATTAGGAAAAAAAGAAAGAAAGAAGGAAAGAAAGAAAGAAGTATAAAGAGTTGGGGTGAAGAAAAATCATGGTATTTCCACAACTTAGTGCCATCACTCATGTTGAGATCCATCTTATGTGGACAGTAATGACAGGGCCTAGAAGGAAAGCCACCATATCCCCAGATGTGACCATCCGGTGGTAGCAGTGAAGATCAGGTTGGCACAGGGACAGATCTGCTTTGTGGAGCTCTGACTTCTGTCCCCAGAAATTCTTCTCGCTGTTGCCCACAGTATTACCTTGCTGCGTACCTGTGGTCTATCCCAGTCTGTCAGACTCACCTTCCCAAAGTGTCATATACTGATGTTTCTCCTTTTCTCTCTCTTATTAAGAAGATTTGAATGCTCCTTCTACCACATGGAGTCCCCACTTTTAATCACACAGTATGGTAAATACCTCATTGGCTGGTATGAGGCCTCAGAGCTGAAGCCTGTGGAGTGCAGAGCTGGTCTCACATGGAGCAGAGGCTCTGTCCCCCTGACTTGACAATCCGATCCATCTTTCTCTGGCTGCCTGAACATGGCTCAAACTCGTCTCAGACTGGACCACTCACTGTTCCTAGAGCCTTTTTTTTTTTTTTTTTTTTAAAGGCTCTACCTTCTTTCCCTTAATCTCTGTTGAGCAAACCCCTCAAAGTCTGGACCAAAGACATGTCCCAGGGCCTCCCCTGAGCAAACTCACCCAAAGCCACCAACCGGGGACCTCCTGCCTCACTTTTCCGGGTGCATGCATTCCACCTATCCTAGGCATGTTGGACATATTTAGGGGTTACTTCTTTTGATTCCTTAAATTTCTTGGAGATGAAGTATTTTTGTCATTCTCAGAACCCCTATGATACTCAGCATAGTGGCCTGCACACAGAAGCTCTTCAAGTCATATTTGTTGACACAAGAGAAAATAAGTTTCCTAGTACAGAAGGAGTAAAAAGCTGCCTCTTGATAGAAGCCCACCCCACAGAGTCCTGTGTTGAGCGTCCTTCCAATTAAATGGGACTAATAATACGGCTGTTCTCACCATTAAATCCTGAAGTAGAGGCCAGGTAAAGGCAGGCCTGCCTCTCAGAGGATCTGCCACATATTCACGTCGCCATCCTTTTCTTGGTGTGTAAAAACCTTCACTGCTTCATGTGGGCCTTCAAGGCCTGAGTCACTAACCCCCGCTACTGTGCCTCTTTCTTTCTCTGTGGCTGAAACAAGCCTCCCAGGGCATAATTCCTTGTCTCTCTTATCAGATGGCTGACAACAGGCTTGGAGGTAAAAGGAAAATATACATTTATATTTCATCTAAAAATTTCAGTTGCTATTAGTTCTTCCTTTCCTTCCAGGTAAGAGTAGAGTTTACTCTCACAGAATGCTTATTACAATAATTGTTTATGATATTGGTACCATCTGTCTCTGATGCCATGATTCCCTCAGTTAAACATATGATTTTTCAACATTAGCCAAACAGCTGCTGTGGGTGACAGCACACATTTTCAGCACGGTGTGGGAGAAACAACTTTCTACTCCCGTGTCCTGACTCTTCTTCCTGAAGTCACCTCAAAAAACTAGATCTTCCTAACGGTTGTTTAAATAGGCTATAGAAAACTGAAGAGTAAGTAGATGGGATAAGTTCAGCAGACAAATGCTACTTTGCACATTTTAAGCATTATTCTTCGTGTACAAAAAGTGTATGGAAAGCAGCTGTAAGGTCTAGCAAATAGTGGGAAACTATAATCGTTACTATTATCTGGGAATCCATTAGTCAAACAAATGGCTAATGCTGCCTCGTGAAGTTCCACCCTTTCCAGGCTTCAAAGTGATGAACTAAAGCAAAGTGTGATCAACCCACTTGGGAAGATAAGCCATCTTCTCTACTCTGGGAACTAATATTGATTCATTTACTTACTGAGATTTATTTCTCATTCCTTTGTTTTTATAGTGGCTGACTGAGGTTTCATTTTATTATTTTGATAGAAAGGGAATCTAAAGTTTAATTTGATGACAGATGCCACAGACTACAGAGGCAGAGTTTCCTCAAGAACTCAGTAATCCTAAGAGCATGAACGGGAGCAGCAGTAATGATGAACCCTGGCCGAACACGGACCATGAGCCGAGTTCTGCTCAGTGCACTAATATTCACTCATTCGTTTCTCACAGAAGTTCATACTTTATTATTGTACCAGTTTACACATGACGAACCTGAGGCAAGATGGGTGAAGTGGTTGTCATATCTGCATGGAACTGTCCATTTGCGAATTTCCTACCTACCATAGGTCTTTGTGTATAGCTAACGCTAAGTAGAAGGCCTGACAAGACTTTAAATTTCCCTCGCTTCTCTAAGCTGTTTTTTCTCTTGGGTGTTGATGGGTAGCTTCCCTGTTATTACTCCCCCCTTATCCTTCTTAAAAAAAGAAAAGAAAAGAAAAGAAAAGTAAAACCTTTCATTATTTACACTTGGGCATGCACTCATGCCCCTGCTTTTACTCTTTGAGACATTTTCAATTCTTAAACTCCACCTCTATGAGACTCAAAAGGCTTTGTCTCTTGTTAAGGCATCTCTGACCAAAGCACTCAGTGAGGAACAATTGGCTGACTCTTGACATCCCCACGGTCTCTGTCAAGCACAGCCTGGTCTCCCTGGGGGGCAACAGGTCCTTCCTGACTAGAGAGGCCAAGGGCCACGGCTTTATAAATGACTGCTGGTGAGTGCCTTGAGTGGTGGGTGGCTGGGGGGAGGGTGCAGCGCATTCCTGGCAAGTCAGCTCATTCTTGGAAGAGAGCACTTTGGAACTGCAACCCCAGCCCACCTGCCAGCTAGCCCTGTGACCCTAGAAAGGAGGCCCGTGCAGGAGAAGGACACCACAAATGGCGTCTTTTCTCTGTTTGGTTACGGTTTTTCAGTCACAATGTACCCCTACTTGAAGCTTTTGAGGAGGATCCGGGGCTCAGGGCTCTCCAGAATCAATTGTTCAGAGCTGAGCCTTATTCCTCAACATCAGTACCCAGCCCCACACCTCTCCCCTCAGTGGGCCGCATGCACCCGCATTCAAATGCTAACCACTGTGGTGGAACTCAGTGACCCAGAAGTAAAAGCAGCAGAGTGCCCCATAATCCCCAAAGTCATCTGACTCCAGTCATTTCTCGCCCCTCCCTCAGAGAAACGTGTTTATCTGTCGCACGTGCGGCCAAAGGCCTCTGGCGGGTCTGAGGGTTGGCCTCTCAGACTGCCACCGAGTTGCAAAAGAAATCATCTCTCCTCTACGTTGGCACAAGGATGAAAGTCCTTAAATGGTGATCACACTTTGCAAAAAGCGGCCCTTGCCCAGCAATGGCCGTCACGGGGGGCTGGGGGACGGGCGGGGGCCGCTGAACAGCTCCCTTTCACTTGAGGCCACCGCGCCTCATCCAGCTTTTCATCACGCAGCAAACGTTCACACTGAACTGAAGGCAAGCATCAAAGGAGCAGACGTCCTCGCCCCCCTCCAAAATTCCGCAGCCTTTGTTGTCACTGGAGCTGGGTGGTTATTGAACTTTGCAGACCTGCTGGGCCTGGAAAGTGAAAACACCCTCCTGAGCCAGCAGGGGTGGTGCTGTGTGCCTGGGAGATAGGGCCTGCGCCTCTGAGGGCCTGGCGGTTGCCATGGTGCCCTGACATCGAGATCATGCCTTATGAATGTCACCAGGGTCTGTGACTAAAGTTGTTTATGAGTCAAAAGTCTCATGGAACTACAGCAGGAAACGGTGGCCACGGCTCTCGGCAGGCTGTGGGAAAGAGGGATGGAGCATCCTGGAGCCCGACATGTTTTCCCCCTCCTTGGTTTGCCAGGGAAGACAGTCTTTAAATACAACATGGAGCGCGAGACACACCGTGCAGAGTGACATTTCATTCGTCACTGTGCATGAGACAGTGAGGGAGAAGGAGTCTTTTAAATCATCGCCTGTCCCCCTGTAGTTTTAAAATATGACAGTCCTGCTCTTTGTGGTTTAGTTAGGGGCTCGGAGCTTGGCTCTGCGAGGCCCTGGGAAATGCTGCCATCTGACCATTTGGCTTATACTTTTTCCTTTGTTCCTCCAGCGTGGAGGGTTTCCACTGTTCAAAAGGAGGATGGGGAGAACACGGCGTACCCAGGGAGGCTTCGGGAAAAGTGACTCCATGCGCATGCCACCTCCATTCTACCCTATCCTTGAAATTCTAACTAAAAAGTTAGAACATGATCCTTACATTCATGTCCTGACATAGAAAAAGCTTATTTTTCTTTTTTCTTTTTTTTTTTTTTTAAGATTTTATTTATTTATTTGAAAGAGAGGCAGTGAGAGAGAGCATGAACGAGGAGAAGGTCAGAGGGAGAAGCAGACTCCCCGTGGAGCTGGGAGCCCGATACGGGACCTGATCCCGGGACTCCGAGATCATGACCTGAGCTGAAAGCAGTCGTCCAACCAACTGAGCACCCAGGCGTCCCGAAAAAGCTTATTTTTCGAAAAGGATTTCCTATCCTTTTCTTTTATATATATCTAGCTCTGTGTGTTCATTAAAAATGTTATTGTATTAATAAATAGGACATATACAATACGTTTCAGGACTCTCCACATGGCCCCTGTTGAGACACCTTCACCCTCCGCACCTCTCCTTCCTTCCCCCAGTCATTGTCTCCCCTGACCTCTGAGGCAGACAAGAGCTTCTTACCTCCGACACGGTGCAGCTGAGCTGGAAGATCTGCCCTTCTCCTTCCACCTGCCGCACGCAGAGTTTGCAGACCAGCTCCACTGTGTTCAGGCTAAATCTTTCCAGAGTGAATGTGCAGTGGAGGTTTCTTTGAGACCCACTCCAGATATGATAAAAAGGAATTTCCTAAAGGATATAACCATGTTAACTACTGATGAGCGACTAACACTGAAAACAACTCTCAGACACTGCCTGCCAAGTACTTTTCTCGGAAGTACACGTTACCTTATTTAGTCCTCGCGACAGGCCCATGCATAAGGACATCCCTACCCCCTTTTCGGATGAAAAATAACGAGGTCCAGAGACGTTAAACACCACCCTCCCCTAATCCCACAGCTCCTAAGTGGCAGAGCTATGAACCCAGGGGAGCTGGACTCCAGAATCCATATTCCTAGCCAGTCTGCCACTGCTCCATCATTTATAAAAGAAGCCATTGTAAGTGGTTTTTCAAAAGTTTAGCGAATTCCCAAAATAAAACCTACACACTCCAGTCATTGCTCATTAAAAGGAATCCCTGCCGTGGTATTCTGGAGAAAAGCAAAGAAAGTTTAAAGGGTAAAGCACTGATCCAGTTCCCTTTCATGCCTGTGTACTCCCTCCGCACAGGACAGGGGAAAACCAAAACTCACTGCAAGCAGAACACTGTGGGCCCAGGGAGCTGCCGCAGAAAATCCTTGGTCTAAAAAGGACCAAGCCTCTAACAGACATATATTTTCTGAAAATCTGGACCACGTTCAGAGCCCATCTTAGAATCTTGCTTCCATAAAGGAAAGAAAAGGGTGATACATTAATAATAATAATAATAATAATAATAATAAAGTGGGGAGAATATGGTGGTTAAGAATGGAGGCTCTGGAGCCCAATTCAGTATAAATTAGAACACCCTCCCTTTGCTTACTTGGTGTTGTGGGGTAAGTAAACTTTCCCATGCCTTAGTTTCCTTATCTGTGAAAAAGTAAGTGAAAGAGTACCTAATCATAGACCTGCTGGGGTTAAATGGAGTAAATCAAAGTGCATGGGTGTCTGGCAGATGGTAAGAATTCAGGCAGGCTTGGCTTGAACTACTGTCAGATTATCATTATTATTAAAATAGTATTTTCCGTTATGATTGCACAAAGGATATTGCTCACAAAAGGGAAAGATTTATGGGGCTTTAGGGCAGTTGCAAAGAAGGGCGAGAAGAAAGCAAAGGGAGAGATCTAATGAGAAAGAAAGTCAAAAGCCAGATGCCACTACCCAGTGCTGAGTTACACAGAAGAGTCTGGTAGACAGCCCTGTGAAAGCTTCGGAGTGTTAGCAAGCTAGTAGGTTTGTTTCCCACGACTTATGGGTAAGTACTAGCCCTACAAGATTAAGAATGAGCTGGAAATCTTCCTTTCAACTATTAATATGTTCTCTGACTTCTATCAGAAAGTCAGTCAGTGGAGTTGCAGCCTTGGGGTGTGGGACTGGATTCGCATGTGTGTAGACACAGAATTGCAGCTTATCCAAGTGCGTCTGCATCTCCTGAGATTGAGTATGAGGCTAGAGATCCCGACGCACAGCCTCCTGGGAGCTCAGGCTCAGAGATGCTGCGGGGCTGGTGACAATCCCTGGAGAGGCCTCTGTTTTTCCCATGTGTCCATGCAGTGAGAATTTAGACCAGTATTTTTATGCTGTTATCTAATAAAATCCTGATCGGATTTTATTTTTAGGTACTATTTCAATTTCCAAATTGGTATTACTTCCAAGTTTTCAAGGTAAAGTATTTTCTTAACAATGCTGAGGTCTAATTTGTGTCACAGCATGGGGGGAATAACACTGTTCTTCCCTTTTTCCTTAGGAATGCATTTTTTGAGGTTCTTTTTTAATCAATTCGCATTTATTCTGAAAATGAAATGAAATGATGGACTTGGAAGTCCTTTTACTAAAAATAAAACAATGAGAGTACAATTATTTGAAGGAGAATTAAGAAAAATTCTTTCAAATATTCTGAAGTATTTTTCAGAAATCCTAAATAACTCTATACCGTTTTGGAGAAACAAGTACCGATACAGAATTAATTTCAAGGAAAGGAATTCTCATGTTTAAATAATTTTAGACCTCTTTTTTGGAGCTGTCTCCAATCCTTTAGTTCAGCTCGGGAACCTTACCTGGTATTTGGCCAGCAATTTACTTTTCCAGAGCGAATGGGCGATATCGTGAATCGACAGGCGCAGGTTGTGGGTGCTGCCTTTAAAATGAAGAGCCTTAGGTTCTTCTAGGAGCTGTCCTCCCATCTGTCTCTCAAGCTGCAGTACTTCCTACAATGACATGCCCAAAGTCAAAAGCAAATCTCTGAATCCTATGACTTCTGCTGGCTGGCTCTCTCAACAAATGAATATGTTCCTCACCGCGCCTCCCCCACTCGACAACTAACTCGCGCACACTCCCACTTCTGCAGCCTGGAGACCCTCCAACTGAAGCCCCTGCCAGCTTGTGTGTGACTCAGTCCTCCTGACCATCAACTCTCTCTCAGCAACCTGCATCACATGTTGTGAGGCAAATTTAGTACAGTCTGCATTTCCCGATGGACAAGTGGAAGAGTTAATCAAATCCTGGAAAATAACAATCAGAACCCCAAATGGGAAGAATTCCAAATGAAAGAAAAAACAGGCAGAAAGATAAATAAGCAGTTAAAGCAAGTAGATTTTCAATGAACTTTTGGGGAAAAGGGCCAATCACTAGAAAATAAACCCATGTCTTGGACTTGGCAAAAAGTAAAGACTTGGAATGCATTTGGCACTTTTGTTTTTCCTTTCAATTTTATTTTGTAGTTTCTTTACCTATAGAGATAATAACATTTTTGCCTAAGAATTATCGGTTGCACAATTCCCAATTATCAAAAACTAAAATAAAATATACTCCTTATCTGTCCTATTAGAGGAAAATGTACTAATACAGATTAGGAAGTTCTGTCAGCACCAAATACTGAACTAGACAGTCACTCAGATTAAATATGGAAAAGAATATCTCATTTCTCAAGAACTGTGGCTGATCAAAAAATCTGCTATATAACTTTACTTAAACTATAAAGATGTAACATGAAGACAAATTCGAAATAGACTTTCATTTCTCAAACAAGCTAATGGGAGTTAACGAAGCATTTCGAAGGACAGCTGCAATTATCCAAATAGCAGCAAAGCATAAGTTATCAATGAACAAACTATGCTGAGTCTCCTTTGTCATCAGAACCATCTCTGCACACTCCACTCTTGTCGTGCTCTGAAAGTTTCAGTGACACACATGTGTAGGCAATTTGTGACCGACCTTTCCTTTTTAAAGCGTTCGGGAAAATAATGGATTTAAAAAATATATATAAAAGGAAAACACGATCTTCTTTCTTGGGGACATTTCCAGCTGGAAGCAGGGGGTTCCATAACACAGCCCCCATTCAGGTCATTCCACACACACGTGTTGGGCACCTACCAGAGTACCAAATGCAGATGGATCACAGCAGAGAATTGTGAGTGTGGGGACCAGATTGGCTTTTACCCAGAAATACATCCACTCTGCATTTGCTGAATGAATTCTAACCCACACGCATGTAGCCCAGTAAGTGCAGAGCTTACCAACATCATTGATTAGTTGTAAACAGCTCATTTCTAGCTGCTTCTTAGTGGTTCTTAGCATCCATCATCTTTGAGTCAGGCCACTATTCTGAACAATGCAAGCTGCTGAAAGGTCTTATAAGGTGTAGGAAATATTAGGGTAATGTGGGATATGGTCTCAGGCATGGATTCCTCTAATTAGTGTTTAATGGAAGCGATGAGGCAACAGCACATTGACGGAGAGACGGGCATGGTCCAGCTGCTTCGGAATATTTACACCGAGAGGATTCAACCTTGTTGGCTGATGAGTAGCTATTACTTGTGACAGGAGTCTGAGCAGTCAGCCGACTCCCAGCCAGCCAGTCGGCCACCAGGACACATATGTTGTGCCCTGGCTCTCTGTGCCTACAGCTCAGCAGGCTCTGAGGGTCCCCAATAAGCCATACAGGTCTACCCAACCCAGAGGCACACATGTTCCTCGTGGAACACTTCACACTCCATTCCTCGACAAGGATCTGGCCATGTGGAAATGAAGATGAATAAGAAAAGCGAGGGTTAATTGCAGTTTCTTCTGCTTCAGCAGCAAGGCATAATGAGCTTATGTTGATCATGTTTGGTGTCTAGTTAGCATAATAGAGAAAGCTGATGTTCCCAGTGAACCTGGCACCTGACAAATTCTAAAGCTAAAATGATGTTTGTTTATAAGCCATTAGAAGAAAAGAAACATAATTAGAAATCTTTGAGATTACAGTCATGCCAATCAATCAGTTCTAGCTTCTTTCCAGTACACCCTAATTACCTCATCAAGACGGCTAAAGAGCAATCGATAGTAATTATCTGATTACTATAGATCTTCATTATGTCCAAATTATCTCCCTGGGATGTCTAAAAGAAGATGCATTGTATTCTGGGAGGAAATTGTACCCAACAATGTATAATCCACACCCCATTCCTACAATCAACATAGATTGCTGGAGGATATGGAGAACATTATCAGTTTTCTTGGCAGGGAGGACTACTGAAAAAAACCTAAACTGCCTATTGGCCATGACCTTGAAGTCAAGAAATCTAATACCACATTTGAATGAGGAGTCTGGGTGGGAGTCAGCCCAAGAATAGGACTCAGTCCTTGGTTTCTTCGGCATTCACCTCAAAAGGCATAAAGAGTTCTCACTAATGGGGAAAGGTGGTGTTGGCTTGAGCCTTTTTTGAAAGTACCAAGTAAAATGCCGTTTTATTTTATTTTATATTATTGTATTTTATTTTAAAGATTTAAAGATTTACTTATTTATTTTAGAGAAAGAGAGTGGGGGTGGGGAGGGGCAGAGGGAGAGAGAATCCCAAGTAGACTGCCTGCTGATCATGGAGCCAGACAACGGGCTTGATCTCATAACCCTGAGATCATGACTTGAGCCAAAATCAAGAGTTGGAAGCTTAACTGACTGAGCCACCCAGGCACCACAGTAAGATGCCATTTATTTTAAAGATAATGGAGCTAGAGAACACATCTCCATAGTCTTAAGCTCTCTGTTTTTCCATCAACCGGGAATGACACAAAGTGGCTGCACAGAGCTGGGAGAACCTAACTTTTTTGTCTCCTTTGATTAGACACGAACCCTGGTGAAAGATAAACTGCCCATTGGGATGTACCCATGCTTACAGCCGAGGTCCCGCTCCAAACATATCTGACTGCATATGCCTATCAGTCCAAAAATTGAGCATGCGTTTTATGCTTCTTTATAAATGATATAGTAACATGTCAGTAAATTACTGTATTACATTATAAAATACACATAAGGTTAAAAGGATGAGCCAAGATGAATAAACACACAAGTACTATTATCTTTTTGGCCCCCAAAGTTCATTGGGCCTGGGGTGTGTGAGGCCATTTTCGAGACACTGACTTGGGCAGATATCTTTTCACTGCTAGCTCTGGGAGAAATCAGCCCTCGAATAAGTGATTCAGTAAGAAGAATCCTTACCAAACTTAAATTTAATGTTCTTCCTGAGAAGTGGCAACAGATCTCACACCCAGGGTGTTTGACTTCAAGGAAACATAACAAAATAAAGGAGGAGACCATAGCCAAACCACAAATTAAAAATATTAAAGTGAATTAAAGATATTGTAAGTGATAAATAAAACACCTCCTTGGAAACTACAACCATCTAAAAGTACACAAGTCAGAGATGACTTGACACATACAGCAAACCCACATACAGGTTTGAGCTTCACGTGTTCTCTTACACACCAGGTTTTTCCGACAAGGATAGGACATGACTGCAAATGTATTTGCTCTTCCTAACAATTTTCTTTTATTTTTTTAAAAGATTTTATTTATTTATTTGACAGACAGAGATCGCAAGTAGGCAGAGAGGCAGGCAGAGAGAGAGGAGGAAGCAGGCTCCCCACTGAGCAGAGAGCCCGATGCGGGGCTCGATCCCAGGACCCTGGGATCATGACCTGAGCTGAAGGCAGAGGCTTTAACCCACTGAGCCACCCAGGCGCCTGACAATTTTCTTAATAGCATTTTCTTTTCTTTAGTTTACTTTATGGTAAGAACACCGTGCAAAATACATACAACATACAACACGTGTTAATTGGCTATTTATGTCATTGGTAAGGTTTTCAGTCCACAGGAAGCTATTAGTAGTCAAGTTTTTGGGAAGTCAGAAGTTATATGCAGATTTTCAACTGCCTGGGGGTTCAGTGCCTATAACTCCCACAGTGTTCAAGAGGCAACTATATAAATCTTACATCAGAAGAAAGAAGAAGCAAGCCCACTTGACACACTAGTCATGCTTGTGCCCTGTATTGTTATGTTTTTCACTGTCATAATCTCAGACATGTTATAACAGACCCCACTTAAAAATATGCTGTAACTTATATTTCAAAAGGCTTGATTTTCTGAATTCCTTCAGCATGAAATCATTTTATTATACATATGATACACAGAAGGAAAAGGACATAAAAATAACAAATGTATGAATCAATAGGATATAGCTTTACAGTTAAATACAGTTAAATACTTAATTAAATACTTAAGGAGACGAAATCCTTAATCTTTCTGCGAGCATTCATTCAACATCAGTAAAAGGCACATGGCCTGCTGGAAACCGTGTCAAGCTCTGGGGTACGAGCCCCCAACCCTGCCTCATACTCCTCAGGGAGGGGAGATCGCCATGTAAACATGTGACCCCAACATTGCACCCAGCCCCAAGACAGCTTCCAGACAGCTGCTTTTGGATCACACAGTTAGGAAATATCATGCACTTTATGAGAGAATAAGAACAAAATATATTTAAGTCAAAGGATTTAGTTAGACTTCAGAAAAATGTAGTGATCTTGGAAAGAAATGCTGTCATAGGAATTAGGATCATCTAGGCTCTTTGTTCTCAGAAATATAAATGTTACCTTCCTTTGCAAAGGTTGTCCTCCCTCTTGGCAGGTCTCCCCCATCAGGGTCCTGTTTGGTTCTGGGTGACTCTACCTGGGTGACTGGTTGGTTCTGGGTGACTCTATTGTTTGGTTCTGGGTGACTCTGCTTTGATGAGCTTGCTCTGTTTCTGAGAGAAGGGGTCGCTTTCTGACTTCCTTTGTCACGCTGGTCTTCACCCCTGTAACTTAACCTTGAGAAGACTCTCTCAGGAGTCAGTTATTGGCAGAGGTGGGAACACATGCCAGTCCCCAGTCACAGAGTCACCAGGAGCAGGCC